ACAGTCCCTGTGCAACATCTTCACATGTGAGTTATGTAATTTGCCGTAGTTAAGGACAAATCAATAGGAAAAAAAAAAAAACCCTAGCAATCCGGGAAACTACTCAGTCCTCTCTTTTTCTGCTTTGTTGACCTGGACACAAGTACATACACTTGGAAACAAAACACAGAACCTTGCAGTATTTCCATAATGATAATAATTAGCTTCCCCTGCAAATAAAGTAGCCCATGGGGCCTAAGTCCAGTCACACAGAAAATGGCAGGCAGCTCCTTGAATAAATAACAGCAGCAGTTCTCTGGTCTCTCATCATCACGAAGGTAGTCATCTCTGCTATTGTGCCACCTGAGGGGATGGCAGTGGACACTCTTGCACAGAAGACAGTCTGGTGGCTTTCATCCCTGCAGCCCAGCTCATTTCAATATTTACAATGCATTTGAGTCACCTGTTTCACTGCACATTCCCATCAGATGACAACCAGAGCATCCGTAGATCATCACCTTGACTGTATGTGAGCAAAAGTCTTGGCCTGGTTTGAACTCTGGACAATCAATCATTCATTTTCTGTTGGTAGCACATTTTTGGGAGGAGGGCCTGGATTGGCCATTTTTTCTGGTTCTATCTTTTGCCCCATTTTCTCATCCACAACTTCTACTTCTGCGCTGTTCTTCAAAGTCTCTAGAATGAGATTAAGGTCTGTGGTGAGAGCCTAGACATGGTGAAATCCAGCAATCATGGAAACAGGCAAGAAACCCTGTTCATCCATCTTTCTCCAAAGAAAGAAGTCATATTCCAAGTTTTGCATACTGAAGTGATATTCAACTTGGCACTTACACATTAGGCAGCGTTTCTTCCACAGGATACACCCATACATCTGTGTCCTCATTGTAATACGTCACCCTGGGGGGGTTAAGTTCTGTTTGATATGGCCGATTTGTCCTTTCATCATGCTCTCAGTAACTATTCAAATAATCAAAGTTCACTTGAGGGTCTCCTCTGCCTGTCCTCTTCCTCAGCCTCCAAAAGGACCTCGGTTACTATCACCTCCCTCCTTACACTGGATGTGCCTCTTGATCATCTCTTTTCTCTGTTTCTCTTCCAACCTCTCCTTCATTGATTGCTTCACTGAGCCTCATCCTCTCTGACATTTTCAACAGAACCATCTAATTGTGTTTCTTGGTTTTCTTTTCTTTCATGTTACTTCTCTTTTCAACCTTCTCTACTTTTTCTTTTCTGATTTGTGGCTTCTTATTTCCTTGGCTGTTGACACGCTGAGACTGCAAAAAGGTTCTTCCAGTGTTCCCTAATTCTCCTGGTATTGGCCAATTTGCTATATCACTGAAATCACTGGCCTTGTTAGTTTTCCTTGTCTTGAGTTTTCTGGCTTTTATAACTTTGGAGGAACCGAGCTCAGCTGCCATTTTGCCAGGCCACATGCAGCAGCTGACTCCTTCCTTCTGAATCTCTTCTGATGTCACTTCTGCTAATTCTTGCCGATGGCATCTTATTTCTTTATGTGGTTACTTTTCTTTTTAATTTTATTTCTAAGACTTAAAAAGATTTCTTAATTGAAATATAACTTACAGGGCCTGGGGTTGTAACTCAATTGTAGAGCACTTGCCTAGCACGAGTGGGGCACTGGGTTTGATCCTCAGCACCACATCAAAATAAGTAAACGAAATAAATGCATTATGTCCATCTACAACTAAAAAAGAAATGAAAAGACTATAACTTAGATCTCTAAAGTGCATGAATTTTAAGCTCTATAACTTCATTTTACCTATGGAACGATCACCTAGATCTAGATAAAGACTATTTCTGGCATCCCAGAAGAGTCCCTTGTGCTTTCTCCCAATCAGTACCTACACCAAAAGTAATCACTCTTCTGATATCTGTCGCCATACATATGTTTTTACTGTTTTTGAATGTCATATAAATAGAATCACAGAATTTGAACTTTTTATATCTAGCTTCTTCCACTTAACATTAAATCTTTGAGATTCATTCATGATTTTCAGGTATCATGTTTGTAGTTCATTATTTCTCATTGGTGAGAAAGGCTTGTATCCTAAGTCTGTCCCACAGGTCCACTTGGTAAAGACTTGGTTCTGCTGTGGCACTATTGGAAGGTGGTAGAGCCTTTAAGAAGTGGGGCTTAATGGGAGGTCTTTGGGTCACTGGGGGTATGTCTGCAAGGGATAGTATACCGTGGCCCCATCTTTTTCTTTTGCTTCTTGTCCGTTCGGTGAGCAATTTTGCTTTGCTGTATAATGTCACAAGCCCAAAGTGATAGTGTCAATCATGGACTGAAACTACTGAAACCATGTGCCAAAGTAAATCTTTTCTCTTTTTAAGTTGATTATCTGAGATATTTGTTATAGTAGCAAAAAGCTGACTGACAAATTTTTCAGATCTATCATATATTTGTATGCAGTATATATGTATATTGATGTTAATATATGATATTTTGAGCTGGGTATGGCGGCACATACCTGTAATGGCAGCTACTCAGGAGGCTGAGGTTGGAAGATCACAAATCTTGCCTGGGCAATTTAGAGAGACCCTGTCTCAAAATATAAAATAAAAAGGGAAAAAGGCTGGGATGCAGCTCAATAGTAGAGTGCCCCTGGGTTCAATTTCCAGTGTAAAATATATACATATATAATTTAATTTATATACATATAATATAAGCAGCCTAGAATGATTCATGTTGCAAATATCTGTTCCTAGTTTTTTTGCTCTCTTAATATTGACTTTTGATGATCAGAAGGTTTTTTGCTTGTTTGTTTTTTGTTTTTTTTTTTTTTTTTGATACTAGGTATTGAACCCGGGGGTGCCACTAAGTTACATCCCCAGCCCTTTTTGTTTTTTATTTTGAGACAGGGTCTCATTAAGTTGCTGAACAATCTTCCTGCCTCAGCCTCTGGAGTCACTGGGATTACAGGTGTGTACCACTGCAGCCAACCAACAGAAGTTCTTAATTTAAATGAAATTCAACTGATCAACCTTTTATGTTCTTTTAAAGAAATGTTTTCCATCTGTATTCTTCTAGAAACTTGATTGATTTGTTTTAGTTTCATATTGAAGTCTAGGGTCCATACTAAATTAATTTTTGATAATTGGGAAAAGGTGTCAAGGTTTCTATTTCTCAGCTTAGTTATCTCATCAATGCATTTTAATTTTTTTCCATATTTTTATTGATGAATTATATTTGTACATAATGGTGGAATTTGTTGTTACATATTTGTACAGGACACAATATAACAATATAATTTGGCCAATATTATTCCCCAGTATTTCCCCTTTCCCCACCCTCTCCTCCCTTCTCCCAGTTTTTCTGTTTTGTTTTGTTTCATTTTGGGATACTGGGGCGTTTCCCCTATTCTACTGATCTCCCTTGGATTTTCTTGAGATTCCCTCACCTTTCTTTGCCTTTTTCTTCCTCATGAGAAGTATATTATTTCTGAGTATATTATTTCTCTTCCATCCATTTTCCTGCAAATGACATAATCTCACTCTTTTTTTTGATTGCTTTTTTTAAATTTTATTTATTTATTTTTAATTTTTTATTGTTGGTTGTTCAAAACATTACATAGTTCTTGATATACCATATTTCACACTTTGATTCAAGTGGGTTATGAGCTCCCATTTTTACCCCATATACAGATTGCAGAATCACATCAGTTACACATCCATTGATTTACATATTGCCATACTAGTGTCTGTTGTGTTCTGCTGCCTTTCCTATCCTCTACTATCCCCCCTCCCCTCCCCTCCCCTCCTCTCCCCTCTTCTCTCTCTGCCCCCTCTACTGACATTCATTTGTCCCCCTTGTATTATTTTTCCCTTTCCCCTCACTTCCTCTTGTATGTACTTTTGTATAACTCTGAGGGTCTCCTTCCATTTCCATCCAATTTCCCTTCTCTCTCCCTTTCCCTCCCACCTCTCATCCCTGTTTAATGTTAATCTTCTTCTCATGCTCTTCGACCCTACTCTGTTCTTAGTTACTCTCCTTATATCAAAGAAGACATTTGGCATTTGTTTTTTAGGGATTGGCTAGATTCACTTAGCATAATCTGCAATCTCACTCTTTTTTATGGCAGAATAAAACTCCAATGTGTATATATACCACATTTTCTTTATCCCTTTGTCTGTTGATAGACGCCTAGGCTAGTTCCATGGTTTGGACACCTAAGTTTGGTTCCATTGTCAACTGTGCTGCTAAAAAACATGATCTGCCCATTTATTTAAAAATATTGCTGATAAACTGGAGTGTAGTCTTTGTCATAAATCCCACACATACATTTATGTCTGTTGCTGGACTCTCTATTCTACTTTTTAGGTTGATTTGTTCTTTGTTGCTGTTGTTCCCAGAGGAGCAATAAAAAGTTGTATAAAGGAAATGTGGATGAGTCCTGTGACCTTCTCTCTGAGAGGCATTTATCTCTCTTCCATGTTTTTTTTTTTTTTTTTTTTTGTACCAGGGATTGAACCCAGGAGCACTTAACCACTGAGCCACATCCCTGGCCCCTTTTTTATATTTTATTTAGAGACAGAGCCTTGCTAAGTTGCTGAGGCTGGCTTCAAACTTGTGATTCTTCTGCCTCAGCCTCCCAAGCCACTGGGATTACAGATGTGTGCCACCATGCCTGGCTCTTCCATGGTCTTACACGTGCATGTTCATATAGTGTGAACATACTGAAGTTTTTTAATGACTTGGGGAGATGCTTACTTGCAAAGTTCAGAGATTAGAATACAAATTTAACATGCAAAACTATATGACAGTGATAATTACTAGTAGTTTAGCCTTTACCAAGTAAGGTGCTCTGCTAAGCGCTTTACATGTATTAACTCATATAATCCTCACTACAGCCTTAAAGGATGGGGCAATTTTGCTTCCATTTTCCAGATGATGAAATGGAACACAGAGAAAGTGGAATTGCCCAGTGACACTGAAATATCCACAGATCCCAAACCCGGAATGAACCACACGAGACACTGGCTGCAAAAAGCAGGAGGCGTTTATTCTCACACAGGCGCCTGCGGGTGCACAGCAAAACCTCAGCCGGAGCTTCGATGAGCTGGCACACCGGGCTTTGGGGTATAGATCTTTTATATGGAACAGGTGGGTTAGGTCTTAGCTTAGCACAGCAACAGCCTTCCTATTGGTCCCTCTGAATTCAGCAGTTGAGTCACCTAGGGGGGTAAACTTGTTTTTCAACTTTTTGTTCTCAGAAAAACCATAAAATTGCATTCTGTCCTTTCAGTTCCTGTTTTTAAACCTAGTTCTCAAGTTTAACCAGTAGGACTGTCTAAAAGGAACATCTTGTGATAGGGGGCCCGTTAGGGTTATCTACATGGAACATCTTGTGGTAACATTGTGCAACACCTGAGGTGCTACATGCTGCTGGAGGGGTTTTGACATGGGGGTTGGGTGAGGGAACATCTTGCAGCTTCAGGGCACAGGGGTTAGTTTTCCTAATGTTGGGCCTGGGGCCTTGGGGTCCTTCATTCCCCCCTTTTTTTTTTATATCATGGATATAATCTTATATCCATTGACCCATCTGCTCGGATTCCAGCATTATTTTAGCTGACGGCTCAGCATACTGGTTGGGGGTTGGTATTTACTATTAATCTAATTTTGAATAGGACCCCAGGGTCATAGGCAGTTTTATGATATACTCTCAGGCCCCATTGTTTTTTTTTTTTTTATCCAATCTTTTGATGCTTTGCCTGCCTGAGTAAAGGTAATGTTTAAGGGGTTGCAGGCAAATGCGGTACATGGCCCTGCCCCGTACCATTTCAGGCTCCTGCAAGAGTCGGCAGAAAGTGGGGGATCCTGTTTTGTTTTTGTTTTTTTTTTTTTAAATTATATTTTTTGTCCCCGATAATACTTGTCATGTCTGGCTCACAGATTGGTTGGGGTTAACTGATATGGGGAAGACACAGCACAAAGCAAGAAAAATTAACAGCGAGTGAGTCTTATCTTTAGCGGATTTTGGGTACGTTGCAACTTCCATTCTGGATCCGGAGAGGTGTCTGCGGACTCCTGTGGATGTGCAGTCTTCACGTGGGAAGCATGGATCTAAGCAGCGATGCCGTCCACTTTGAGTGCAGTAGGAGTGGTCAGCAGGATAGTGTAGGGTCCTTTCCACCGCGGTTCGAGGTTCCTGCTCTGGTGCCTGCGTACCCAGACGGTATCTCCGACCTTGAAGGGATGTGGCAGCAAGGGGGTTTTAAGTTCCTCTTTGTATGCTGCGGCTAGAGGCTTCCAGACCTCATTCTGGACCAATTGCAAAGCATGCAAATGAGTCTGCATAGATGGGGTGAGGGAGGCATAGGTTTTAGTTTTATAAAAGTTAATAGCGGGAGGTGGGGCACCGTACAGGATTTTAAATGGGGTTAGTCCATGTGGGCCTGGGGTGTTTTGGGCCCCATACAAGACTAAAGGTAGGAGTTGTACCCAGTCTCTAGTGCCAGTTTTAAGTGTCAATTTAGTTAAAGTCTCCTTAATGGTTCTATTTACCTTTTTTACCTGTCCTGAACTTTGGGGTCTATAACCATAATGTAATTTTTAATTAATCTCCAATGTATTGGCTACCGCCTGACTTACCTGGGAGACGAAGGCAGGCCCATTAAATGTTTTTTTTTTGGTCCTCATTATCAGGATCAAAGGGAGTAAACCTCCGATAAGCCTCTTTTAATTTCTCTAAGAAGGCTGTCGGAGTTTCCTCTGACCCCTGGATAGTCTGTCTTACCTGAGCCAAATTGGTGGGCTGTCGCCCTGCTCCATGGAGACCCCCCTGCTCCATGGAGACCCGCTATGAGTAACTGGCGATAGAGATGTAGGTGGTTCTCACCTGCTTCAGTCGCATAGTCCCAGTTTGGCCGGGTTAAAGGAAAAGCTTCGTTAATCAAATTTGTGAGTTGGGTGGGGCGCCCGTCGTCCCCTGGCACATTTTTGCGAGCTTCCAAAAGAGCCTTTTGTTTTTCCTCTGTGTCTAATAGAGAAATCTTTAATTCTGCTACTTAGGGCTGGATAACCATATTAGCAAACATCAAGTCTACCTGTGTTGTCTAGAAATAAAAGCCTTAGACTAAAACTATTCTAGTAGTTCCTTTGACAGTTATCAGGCATTTCTGTCTAAGAATCTCTCTTGTAGCCTCCAGTCTATTTATTTATGGAAGTTACATTTAATTATTATTATTATTTAAGATGTCCAGGAACAGCTGTGCTTTGGCTTTGACTGTCTTTGCTAAGTGTTTAAGATGAAGCAAGTCAAACTGACTTTTGTTTCTACCTATTGTTTACAGTCAGCTGAGTTATCCTGGGAGTCCTCGGGAACTTCATAGCAGTTTTTCAGTTCTGCTAGTGCCATTTGCGCTAGGATGGGTCCAGGCCTTGTTTGACCATATGGCTTCCCTCAGAAGCATCAGGGATGTCTCCCTTTTTTAATGACCCTCCTCTTTACAGCAAATGCACCATTTGGCTTTCTGTCCTCCACTGGTCTCATTAATCTCCCTGCTCAGGAGGTTATGTGGCCTAGAGTTGCTGAGCCCTTTGGAGAAGTCCCCTATTCCCTGATTCAGACTGACTCAGAGGGCAAGAGCCAAATATTGGTTTTCTTGGCCCTTTTAATTTAACTAATTTTAAAAACTTGATCTTAAACATCCAGCAAATAAGTTAACAGCCTTATATTAAGAGCACTGGGCTTTAATGTCTATCTCTCTATCCTGTAGGTGATAACTCTTTATCTTATGTTGACCCAGGTTGTGTTCTTAAAGCAATACCTCTTTAGAATATTAATAGGCAATCCTTAAACCATCTATAAGCAAACTACAAAACAAAACTAACTAGGGTAAAAACATATTTAGCTTATATAATAGCTACCTTGAATTCTGGCAAGGTTATACATCATAATTTCCTGTTTGAGATCCTAGTAATCTTGGCAAAAACCTACTTTTGGACACAACTTTAACTGTACTGAAATCTGGCTTACTTTTTTTATAGCCATTTTCACATGTAGTGAGATGGGACAGAGCCTTATCTCAAGTAAGGCAGGGCTCTTTATAAATCTCAAGTACTATAGTTCTGAAGCTGATCATTTTACAAAGTTTACATAAATTGTTGTTCAAGTTTACATGAACATTAGCTAACACAACATAATATCACACCTAAAATATGAATTAAAGGCTGAAAGCTTTTAACTTCTTGTAGAAAAGTAGTAATGTACTTTTGTGTTTTGCAATTAAACCTTCACACAGATTAGGCTCTTATTAACTTAAAAATACATAAATTGTATCTTAGAGTAGAAAGTAACATGGAACTGTACATATCTTATTGATAACAAGTTCAGTTATAGAACACAAATGATATAATGGAATTTTTAACATTTTTTTTTTAAGCCTAAAATTACCATACAACTTTAGAACACCAGCTTGATATAATGTTCTTTTGAAGCTTTTACCTTACAGACTTGTATACCTGGAAGATATGAACACATTAATAACACCATAATTACATAAATTTTTTTTTGTTCACATTTTGAAACAATACTTGTAAACTTTTAAATTTAAGCAGAGTTAACATTTTATTAGGGCCTTTTTGAACACCTAGAGAAACTTATAAGCTTAATTTTGAGGACATCTTTACTTTTATCTGTTTACCCAATCTAAATTGAACCGTTTGAATCACGTGAATTAAAGATATTTGGATCTATTTTTAATTTTTTTTTTCAGGCTACCCAGTTCAAAATTGAAACTTTTAAAATTTTTTATCCCAAGTATTTAAGTTTTCTAGCATGAACTATCTGAAATCAAACTAAACAATTGTTTAAACCCAACTTTTAACTGCAAGATAGTGCAATGCTTTAGAAACCCATTCAGATACCAGATTGTTACAATAAAAAATTATTATTATTATTATTATTATTATTTTTTTTTTAGACACACATTTAACCTAGATTATCTCTAAGAAACAATCAGACAACCAGATAAGAAAATATCTCTCCAGGTTTTGAACTTTCATTTAATTATGACTTTTATCAGTGGCACCATAGACTTTCCTATGAGTGGACCAGATGTTTTCACGTAGGGGCAACTATAGGTGTAAAATCAAGGGTCTCAGTGTGACTGGCTTTATTGCATTCAGTGTCCCTTTTTTTTTAAGTAAACAGAGATTAAGTAAACAGATCCTTAAGATGTAGATAAGGACCCAGGGAACTCCCCAGAGCTAAATGGCTCTGGCAGCTGCTGGGAGTCCCTTAATCCTATCTTTCACCCACAGGATCAGTTCCTTTAGTTTAGGTATTTTTTTTTTTTTCTAACTTGTTAGTAGCCAGCTCCCAAAAAGTCCATCCTCTGCTTGCAGTTGTTTCAAGTGCTAGGCTTCCCCAAGAAAGCAGAGTGGGAACTCCTTAAAAGTCCCCTTGAGAGTGTCAAAATTTGTGACTGAAAATTTGGTTCCCATCTCTAAAGCCAATTAACATTAATTTAATAATGAGGACAGGGCTTTGAGAAAAGTCAAAGCGAGATGTCAAAGCTGTTAAATCCCCAGCAGGCATCTCTATTTGCACTCAAGCCGGTTATGGGGGGGGGAAGAAAACATTGCTTCCCTAGTCTCAGTATTTAGCCTTAGATAGAATTTATCATCCGCCTTGGGCTGCATTTCCAAGCAGCCCGACTCCAGGAAGACCCGTTCGCTTCCTGGGGTGGAGGGGCCGGGAGGAACAGGGACGGGACAGATCCGCCATACCGCCGGGTGGAATCCTCCCGGCGGACTGCGTGGATCCCACCCATGCAGGAGGGGATTCGCAGAGGTCCTGAAAGGTTAAAAGCCATGATCTGGATGGCCATGCGGCCCCGGCTGAAAGACAATCTCTGACTTTGCAAATTAGAGAGAGAGATGGAGGGACTCTCCTGGGGGCCATTTAACTTCGAGGGTGGGCCAATATTGGCCACTCCGTGGTACAGAGTGTTACCCATTTTTTCTTTTTGACTGTCACGGACAGGTTGTCTGCCCGATCTTGAACGTCTTGCCAATGATCTAGAGTTAGGCTCAAAGGGGTTGTTAGTGATTGTCCCATGTTATTCTCAGAGAGGAAATAGAGAGACAGACACAATGACACAAAAACGAAACCAAACAGTGAGATCGCTGCGCGGCTTCGGTGGAAACCGAACAAATCAGATGGCCTGGGAGAAGTTTGTACTTCTTTGTCGCCTACAAAAATGGTGTAACCCTCGGAAACACCGGGGGCCCCAAAGAAATGGACCCTTCTGATCCCTGGGACGTCTCCCAGGGTGGCAGGGGAGAAGTCCGAGTTCGTCAACTCCTTCTCAAGCTGCCTCAGAATACTAAATGACAGAACTGCCTCAGAATACTCAGAATACTAAATGACTATGCCTAGGATCATATAGTCTTACAGACGCTGCGCGGAACAAAGAACAGATAACCAACAGGACAACAAGACAGTCAGTTTGAGCTGGCCAGCTTACCTCCCAGTGATGTCGGGTGTCCTCCGGATAGGGACCGGGATCGAACCGGAACCGGGATCTTGGATCTCGGTGGAACCTCCACAATGAAATATCCACAGATCCCAAACCCGGAATGAACCACACGAGACACTGGCTGCAAAAAGCAGGAGGCGTTTATTCTCACACAGGCGCCTGCGGGTGCACAGCAAAACCTCAGCCGGAGCTTCGATGAGCTGGCACACCGGGCTTTGGGGTATAGATCTTTTATATGGAACAGGTGGGTTAGGTCTTAGCTTAGCACAGCAACAGCCTTCCTATTGGTCCCTCTGAATTCAGCAGTTGAGTCACCTAGGGGGGTAAACTTGTTTTTCAACTTTTTGTTCTCAGAAAAACCATAAAATTGCATTCTGTCCTTTCAGTTCCTGTTTTTAAACCTAGTTCTCAAGTTTAACCAGTAGGACTGTCTAAAAGGAACATCTTGTGATAGGGGGCCCGTTAGGGTTATCTACATGGAACATCTTGTGGTAACATTGTGCAACACCTGAGGTGCTACATGCTGCTGGAGGGGTTTTGACATGGGGGTTGGGTGAGGGAACATCTTGCAGCTTCAGGGCACAGGGGTTAGTTTTCCTAATGTTGGGCCTGGGGCCTTGGGGTCCTTCAACACCACCAATACACAGTGGACCTAGAATTCAAACCCAGGCTGCCTGGTTTCAAAGCTCATACTGGTATCCAAAAGTACTTAGACCAAGATACATGCTATTTATCTCTTACTACTCTTCACCCTTCCGGCTATTAGGGAACAGTTCTTTTCTAGCCTCCAGGCTAGAAAAGAATTCAGTCTAAATGTCCCATTCCCATGGAGGCCTGTCCTGACTTCTTACACAAGTCTGGCTTTCCCTGAAACAATCTTACAACTTCCTGTCTTGTGCTTCTCCTTTCTAGCCCTGGACACATTTTTTATTCACATTTCCTTGGCCAAGTTGTTTAAACAGCTGTCTTTCCTGTTCCTTTTCCTCTTCTGTGGGCTTCATGAAAGCAAGGTCTGGGTCTGTCTTATTCACCTTTGTATGCTCAGAACAGTGCCTGATGCACAGTAGTGCATGCAAGACTCCTGTTGTGTAGCAGGACAGCAAAGAGGCCAAAGGAGGCAGAGCTTGGAGATCCCTTTCTCTGTGTTCCAAGTTGGATACAGTGGAAGGTGCTGAGACACATAACCCTGAGTTCAAACACTGATTTGGTGAGCTGTGCAAACATGGACTATGTATAACCCTAACACTTTGAGATCTGCTTTCTCTCCTACAGTATGGAGTTAAGAATATCACCTCATGCCTACGAGAAGTCCTGACACATAGTGTGCATCCAGTACACTATGTTGAGCATTTTTAGAACTAAATATGAATTTTCAAGTTTCTAACTCCAATGTATCTCTGTCTTATTGTTTTTGAAATTATTAGATAGTTAAAAAAATAATATTTATATCTCTTAGGATTATTGTGAGGATATATAAGAAGACAGCCCACACAATACACAGAACCCAGTGTCATTTGAAATAAATGTTCAGTAAAGCTTAACTGTGCTTCTATTATTATGAGTGAAGCACCTTCTGCAGGGCCCTGAACACAGTAGATACTCTGTAGATAGATGGTGCCTAATAGTATGAATTGGTCCTGCCAGTCATGCCCCGCTGCTGCTTAGAGGACAATGTTGGGCCCTGGATCCAGGCACAATTCTGTTCCAGAGTTGGTGCTGTGCGATCGCCACCCAGTGGCTGCCATCTCCTACTGCAGCATCAGGCACAAATAATAACTTGCTCTAGGTTTCCCCTTCTTGGCTCCCTTAATACCTTAAGAACCTTCCTCCCAGCAGAGGGAAAGGCCAGGTGCTAGGGGAAAAAATTCACCAAATTACATTGTTCTATTGAGTACATGTATGAATATGTAACAACGAATCCCACTATTATGTATAATTATAATGCACCAATGGGAAAAAAAAAAGTGAGGGGGGGGAAAAAAGAACACACCTCCCTCTGCATGCCCTTAGAAGCCAGGAACACTGGAAACAAAAGAGGGAATAGGCTTGAGAGATAATTCTAGAAGGTGGACTCACTAGGACATGGTGACCACTTATATCACTGGGGAAGGCAAATGGATTTGTCTAAGACAGAAGCTCAACTAGGGACATTTGGCAATGTCGGAAAATGTTTTTGGTTGCCACAGCTTGAAAGAAAGAATGTACTGGAAAATAACGTGTGGAGACCACTGATGCTGCCAAATATCCTACAATGCGCAAGACCCCCCTCCCAAATTATCTAGTCCCAAATGTCATTAGCACAAAGGTTAAGATACCCTGGTCTAGGATGATTCTCAGGATCTTATCCAGGCATTCCAAACATCAGGAAAACTCATGAAAATGCCGTCAATTGAGGTATCACTAGTTTCCATCTCAAGAATCAGGTAAATCTGGGGAAGACCCTAGCCCCAAACTAGCATAGCCCATAGAACTCTCTAAAGTCATAGAAGGGAAACATTATTACCTATCATTTATTTCTTTAACTTTTGTTTACAGTCACAATGTGTATTTTTCATACTATTGAGGAGAGGGTATAGGTATTAATCACATTGAAGGACTTAAACATGACCTACATCTCATTAGCTAGAAAGTCTTAAAATGGGTCACATAATATTATAGTTCAATTAAGAGATCCTCTGGATTTCTATGCAGGAAAAAAAGCAGTAACTGAACTAAGAAAACAAAATTCTATTTCTCATGTTTCCCAATATTTGCTATAACAAACTTGGGTAGCAATCAGATCTCTGTCCTTCCTTTTGTATCTGTCTACAATGAAGAAAATAGACAATCAGAAAGCAGGGGAAGAGTACATTCACAAGGAACAGCAGGAAACCAGGCAGGAGAACCAGGCACTCAGGGTCTTCTTTTCTTTCTAGAAAGGGAAGAAATATTTCAGAACATAAATATTTCAGAACATTTCTCAGACCTTTCCAGTTTTACCTCAATAAACCAGGCAGAGGGGCCCCAGGACCCTCTCCTCTGGGCTCCCAGCTGGAATCCCCTCCACCCACCTACAGACTTTCAGAGACACCTAAATGATCCCAAGGACATTGTCCTTCAGTGCCTTCCCTCCCTATTAAAAATTCCAGCCCAAGAAAGACACACATTGTTGCAGCTGTCAAGCCTGATGGGCCACTAAGTCTCTCACCTCCAGGTGTTTGTGTTTGAGGCTGTCAGCCTTCAGTTCTGAGTGACATTGCACTTGGTGCTTCTCTGTGTAGAGAAGCCTTTCCTGTCTGGGCCTAGGGCTCCTCTGGCTTGTTTTTCTCCACCCCTGAAGGCATTTCTGATCCTAAAGACCAATTAATTCTTCTTCTGTCCAACATTACTTTGCAGAACATGAGTTTTACTCACATGCTAATTGGAGTTCCTCCTCTTGATGAAATCTAGCTTCTTCATCGATATTTGATAATAATCATTTGATCTGATTGGTCAGCAGCATCTTTCCTCTGCTGGTCTGTTGACCTGACCATCTTTTTCCTGTTAGGTCTACTGTGGCTTTTGAAAGCTTGCAAAGCAGCTTGGGAATGCGCCAAGCTCCCCTGGAAAAATTCTTTAGGTTTTTCATTTCCTGTGTCTTAGAGTGCTATTATTTTTTTTTCCCAGAGAAATTTTGGAATAAATGTCCAAGGAAATATCCTAGAATCTCATCAGAACTTGAAATTACCCCACCTTTGAAATCTCAAGGTCCCCCCATCCTGTATTCTGACCACACCCCTCAGTGTGTCCACCTCTCACTGTCTTCCCCCCAGGAAGAAACAGCTTATAGACAGACCTAGAACCCAGGCCCCTCCAGCACCACAGCCACTCACTCAGTTCAGGCACCTTCATCTCTTGCCTGGGTTCTGCAGCAGCCACGCCCTTCTGTCTGGAACCAGCAGGCCTCCCAACTCCTCTGATGCTTTGATATGGCTGGCCCCTGACACACCTGTACATTCCCTGGCTCATTCCACCTGGTGTCTCACAAGTCTTTCTGCACAGCAGGGGGGAACTGGAATTTGGCGGAACTAGAAATGGCCCCCTGTCTCTGAGCCTGAGCTCTGTTCTCCACTCCAAAACAGTAGTCCTGTCCTTTTAGGAACTTGAGACTCTTCAGCAGTGGTCTCTGGTCGCCCATTGTTCTCTACTGTGGGGGTTTCTGCAGGGGAGCACCCTCTTCTATTTCATAATGACCCCACCAACTCCGTCTCCAACACAGACACAGACTCACATGAACCACTTGGGGAAATAGTGGAAATTATGACATTTTTTTTTTGATTTTCAAAATTAATATTGTTGTATTTTTCCTAGCCTTTTAAAATACGGTGACATTTTGCAAACACTTTATAGCCTGACATCAGCACTTTGTCTTTGTGTGGACCCAAAGTATATCCTTTAATAGAAACTCCTAAGAAGACTCTGATGACAAAGCCTGAGCCTTTCCACTAAATTATGGTGGATGAGTAGCTATTTGTTGAGAAAAAAGATGTGAGGTAAATTGCTCAAAATGTACAATTCCTCTCCCACTGTAACTTGGTGTGAGAGCCTCTATAAACTGTGCAGCACTTTCCTGTAGTGTGGAACTGAAAAGCTCCTGTCAAGTAATAATGGAAGGCTTTGAATTGAAAGCCTTGCGGATTTTGATGGAATTCTCTCACAGATTTGCTAATTCTGTTGCAGTCTGCCCAGGCCAGGCCACTGAAGCTATTCCAAGGAATTCATTGAATTGCTTATTCTGGTTTTGTTTGTTTCTTCCATTTTCCTCTGCCCTTTTGTATTCAGTTTTAAATTTGTCATTTGCTTCCAGCTTCTCTTTTGACAGCTAAGGTTCATGTCCCCCATTTCTTCAATACAGCCCACATACTGACTGAAATGTCACCAGCCATGCCTAGGTCTGTCTGGCAGGTCACCTCTGAAGAAGGAGCTGTGTCCCTTGACCTGTACACTGAGAAACCAGCATGTGTGGGAGGTTGCTCATAGCATGGGCTTCTTGTTCAGCATAAATTTCACATTTTCCTGTCAGAGCTCACGTATGAGACATACTGATTGTCCTGTGAATAATTAAGTGTTGTGGCTGTTATTTAGCTTTATCATTTTAAAAAAAATCTTGTTATTTAGGATCCACAGTCTCTAACAGACCTTAGTCATCTCTCTACCCCAGGGCTCTTCTTTTCTCATGAGATATGGAGAAAGAGTAGCTCTCAGTAGAATGAGGGTCCAGGGGTAGGGAGCATTACCTGTACCATTAGCCATCAAGTTGGGAGCCAAAGGTGTCTTATGGCTAAAACTGCTGTCTCACAGAAGACGGTGAGTCTTGAGCATCAGGTTCATTGCTAGTGAGTCCTTTCTGTTCTAGGGACTGTCAACTACTATTTTCAGGTCCAAACCCAGATTTGCATTTACACCTGCATCCTGGACACCTTCGACTTTATGTAAGTCCCAGCAAGAAGTTCATCAATGGCAGATCCTTTGTTTTGTCCAATGTGTCTCAAATATTGTATTCAGACAAGTTGCTTTACCTTGGAGCTTCTTTTTTTGGAAAATATAAACCACATACCTCCCAAGGCAAGTCCGGGGACTGCTTCCCTCTGGTGAGTGTTTTCCATTTCTTCTTGCGTAAAGCTTTTATTAAATGATAGACTCAGCTGGGAGCTGTGGCGCACGCCTATAATCTCAGTGAACTGGGAGGCTGACGCAGGAGGATCACAGTTCAAAGTCAGCCTCGAC